AAAAAAAAAAAAAAAAAAAAAAAAAAAAAATATTTATTGCTATTCAGTATTTCGAAAATAATATACATTACAATTTTAGAAGTGTTGCTTTAAAAATTTCATTTTTCTACTACTTGTACATTACTCATTTATAAGACAAACAAAATCTTTTGAGAAAAAAATTTCAAAATTTAGTAGTGCTGTAATTCGGTGACTACAAAATGAACTTTTTGAAGACGTTGTCTATTATGCAGTCATAAAATAAAAGTTATCCATTATTTGATTATAGAATAATCAACAGTTAAATAAACTGTCAACCAGTGTGGCAACAGCAATCTGAAACAGTTTATTGCTAGATTAAGTTACAGGTTTTTCAAAACGATCGAGTATAAAAAGAAAAAAAACAAAGAAAATTTAGGTCCTAGCTCAAAATATGCCATTCGTATAAATTCAGAAGAGGAGCAACAAGTGGTTCCTGACAATTTACTCAAAATCACTCTCATGAAGGTAACTTTTAACTGGTTTTTTGCCCAGTAATTTAAACTGATCAGCTAAAGCATTATTGTAAATCGCTGTGACAATACAGAGTGAAAAGACTAAATTCTGCAAAGACTTTTTAAAGCCAAATCTTAATTGCTAGCGACTTTTGCAACAAGCTGTTGGGCCACTTGAAATGAATATTAGTAGCTTTAACGTGCCCAGTAGAATATGAGAAAGAAAATTCTGCTGAAATTGCGTTTTCTTGTAGGGATATCCGTCGCAATCTCACAAAAAATTCATATCGTTCTGTCGTACCATGCTCAAAAACTAATGATAAAGCAATTTTAGCGGTTAGTAAGAAACACCGAGTGTCAAATACCAAATTTAAACTAGTTCAGTAATAAAGGAAAACGATAGAAAGTGTTTTTTCGTTTGTCCTTTAAAAAAAGAAAACCTTTTAAATTGTGTCGCAACATTCAGGTTTTGAAGAACCTGGCTGTCTTTAAATTGGCCAAAACACAACATATTTTGATGTAACGATATTTTACCTAAAATCAAAACTCTGTCTTCTAAAGAAGGACTTACAAAGTACCGTTACAATAAAAATTTTTTAAAATTCAAGCACAATAATGGCACCAAAACACGTTACAGCTATCACGTTATAGCATAATAATACCATCTTCTTAATTTGGTATTTTATATAATAATTGTCTTCAAATTTTATTTTGTACAGTAACTGTAAATTCCTGTTTAAATTTGTATTTAAATGATCGTCTTTATATAGCTTTGCTGCTTGTAACGTTCTTTCATCCCCAAAATTGCTAGCAGCAGTGTTAGCTGAACGCCAAAGCCGTGTCTTGTTGAAAGCAATTAAAGAACGTTGACTGAAAGTTCTAAATCCAAGTTTTACCTCAGAAGACGAATAACGGTCAAATTTAACGAGCCAGGCCAATGTGAGGAAAGATAAAAGTCGGCTACTAATTTTCAGGCACTTACCCTTGGCCAAAACTTTCACTATATTTAAAGACCATGAAATAGTTCCTTCAATCCAACTAAATCAATTTGACAACTTTCACATTTCTAGGTTGTGTCATCAGAATTGATGAACTGCATCTTATGCCGATCAATAAAAGGGTTTAAACTGTACCAAACTTCTGACTTGTTATCGATAAATTACTGTTTAAATACAACATTTTCTCTCCATTTTTATCTCAGAAATATAAGATAAAATCGTCGAAAAGTTTAAAGTATAATTAATTAAAAGAAAAACGTAAACATGATGTTGGAAGCTGCAGAAACAGTAGTTTAAAGTATTCAGTATTCTTCCGGCAGTAACAAATCTTTTTAAAACTTTTCCCTGCGGGAAACAGGTAATTTATCATTTCTTTTGAGCTACTATTTGAATTGGCTTAATGCCGTCTGTATTATTTGCAATAAAATCTCAAAGTTTTGTAGGTGGGTAAGGTCGATATTAGCATTCTGGAGAAGGGTTTTGCAGGACGTGCAGCAAAGAAAAATATTGTATCAATGTCACCACTTTTCTTAAAAGACTCCACTCGTTACAAAAGACAGTCTGAATATACTTGTGAAAATATAAACATTGTGAATTGCCGAAATGATACTAACAATAACCCATGCATGACTACTACTTCACGAATTGTGACAACTACAACATCTACTGTAGCAAAAACTACAACATCTACTAAAGCAAAAACCACAACAACTACTAGAGCAAAAACCACAACAACTACTAGAGCAAAAAACACAACATCTACTACAGAAAAAACCACAACGGTGGCCGCCCCTACAACCAAAACTACAACTACGAGTACTGAAATGACAACTACTGCAGATCTCACTGAGTATGACATCTCATTTATCGACTGCTTAAATGAAGATACAACAACTGCTTCAACTACCTCCCTAACAACTTACACGACTTCTGCGACAGAAACTCCAACGAGTACTGCAGCTTCTTCAACTGCCAGCAGTTCTTTAAAAACCACAGAGACAAAAACTCTATCAACTACAAAAACTCTAACAACTACAAAAACTCTAACAACTACAAAAACTTCAACAACCACAAGTACTGTATTCAAGAGTAGTAGTACGACAAGCACTATAACTGAATCAAAACCAGACGCAAATGTGAGTACTACAATGCTGATTTCAACAACTTTTCCAGAAGCGAAAACTCAAACACCATCGCTCAAAATATCGTCAACTAAAATTTTTAATGCGTCCAGCGCTACCACCAGTCAAGCAGCATCAACTCCAAAAACGACTAGTAAATCTTCAGCGTCCCTCTTAGATACGACGCAGACATCAAGTGCAGAAGAAACAACCAACGCACTTTTACCTTCCTCAACGTTGGCTACACTTACTACGCCGACAACTTTTTTTCAAGTTACGAGTGCAAATAGACCAACAATATCAACGCAGGTTCCAAAAGAAACTACAAAAAAGCAATATTTAACCACCAAATTAATAACTACGAACGCAAAGAGTGAACCTCATTCATCTCAAACAATTCTGACCACTGGTAAAATAGAGAAGATCACAACTAAAACTTCAAGTTCTTATCAAAATGAACTTCCTGCAAGTACGGCAGGACCAACTGAATTATTGACCAGTATCCATGAGACTTCGGAACAAGTTCACGACAAAATAAGAACCAGAAAAACTTCAATACAAACTTCATCAATCAAAAACGATGTCACGAGCGATGAAAAAAGTGTATCTGAAACCTTAGCAAAAGTAAAGACTAGTGAAAACGAAGCATTAGTAACAAAATCAGTAAGCTTAAGTGAGGAACGTGACCTGAAAATATCAAGTAAGGCACTCACCACAAAAATGGAAGCCGATTTGCATACGAGTGGTAGTAAGGCTGCATCTAAATCATTATCACTAAGATCTACGATTTTAGCGCGGCAACCTAGTGAAACAGAAAGAACAACAGAGAAGAGCACGAAATTAAGGAAGGAAAGTACCCAACAAACAAGCGAAAACAGGATAAAATGGACACGAAAAGAGGAACCATCCGTAACAAAAGGCGAACAAGAATCTACAACCAGTAGAAAAAGAACTGCTACACCAGTAAATTTAGAAGATGATACATCGACGTTGAAGCTGACAATTACCAAAGACACAAGAAAAGAGACAACTAGGAGTGAACTAAGCAAACAAGAAATGACGTTTTCACTAGCGCGAGAAACTTCTGCAGATATTACAAAAAAAATAACTGAGGGAACAACAAAAAAAGACACAGCCAAAAAATACGAAAAAACAACATTAAAATTAGAAACTTCTGGAGAAGCAACAAAGTACAGACTTAAGAGGACAACAAGACCAGAAACTTCTCATCAGTTAACAAAGACGACAGGTGGAGAAACAGAAAAAAATGGCTTCGACAAAACGACAGTAAAAATAACCGTTTCTGAAGCTAAAGAGACAGTGAGTACTGAAGATGTACAAAAAGATGTCACTGAAAAAGCCACATATGATATGATTACTAACCAAATTACAACAGTTTCTGCAGGGAATTTGAAAAAAGAAACCGAAGCAGCAACAGACGAAAAATTATCAAAAGATGATGAAAAACCAACGGTAAAATGGAGAACTTCTGAGACTGTACAAAAAAAAGAATTTAAAAAAACAGCTGAAAAAGATTTCTTGACAAGTTTTACGACAACAGAAGCACAGTTAAAAGAAACACTCGGAGAAACCACAAACTCTTTTAGCACAGGACCGGCAGCGACAAAAAAAGGAGAGCTTCAGGTTGAAAGTGAAACCACATATATAAAAAGAGTTTCTACTACCACAATCTTTGAACCAGAAACCGTGGGTAAAAATTATTCAGTAGAAACATTTGTTCCGACACAACAGCCTTACGACAGATTTACGACCCTACCAGCTGCTATTGTTTCAGCGGATAAACATTTTAGCAACAAGACTGTCTCCGCAACCAAATCTTTGATTACAAAAGCTCCAGTTTCCTCCTCGAGTTCTGAAGAGTTGCAGCAAGTTGTAATTAAGTATGTATAATTACAGCATTTGAATCTTCTTTTGATTAACCACGTATTTTGTATACTACAAATTTCTGGTTGAGTTTCTTTGACCGCGCAACGTAAATAATTGTACACTTTACGAGACGATCATTAAAATTATAGATGTAGTCCCGAGTGTCATTATATTAGCTCTCAAAAAGCTTACAAAATGTCAATACGTGGTAATCGCCGTATAATTGTCGTTTGTCAAGCGTGTGACGGTGAATATATACTCAATAAAGTACGGTATAAGTATCTTTTTACGAACGGTTCTGAAAGTACCTTCACGGATGCTGCAGTGGTGTCTGGAATGAACAGCACTTTGCAAAAAACGAAAGTAAGTTGCGAAACAATTAAAGCAACTTTATTTTTCGCATATAAATCTGCATATTTTTTTTACTTTTAGTAACTACTATTAATTTTATAAATTTTAATTTTCTTTAGAATCTGTATTATGCATAGAATTTATAAATTCTCGTTATTATACTGTACATTAGAATGTAGGGCTTCGTTTCATCACCGATATATCATTAAAAAAATCAAGCAAACTTAACCGGTATTTGTTGCATTTGCTTTATCTTGAAAACCAGTTCTTTTGAAAAAGACAAGTAGAATTTTCTTTTTATCATTTTTCAAATATGGAACATATAATGAGAATTTCAGGTGTTTACTGATTATGGCTATAACAACCAAAACGTGCAGGCACTGATAATTGAAACTTTAAGCGGTAGTCGGTCTGGGGGTAATCAACAGCACAACAGCACGTTTAAGATATTGGTTAGATCTATGATTTGCAGATTTATTGTTGTAATAAAACCAAATTTTAACTTATCTATAGTATTTTATGCTTAATTATCTTTTCCTAAACATCTTTAATCTGGAAAAACTTTTTTTTAAAAATTTTTAGCGATGAAACTGCTGATTAAACTCTTACCTTGGTAAAAATATTTTAGATAAATAAACCACCTTACGGTGGAACCTGCAGCATTTCGCCGACTGCCATTACAGCTCAGTCAACGGCATATTTGAAAGGATCAGGGTGGCAAGACGACGATGGCATTTCTTCTTACATATTTAGCTGTACCTTCATTTATTGTTATTTTGACGTATATCAACTAAGATCTGTATTACTATTCAAACAATCTGCTATCGTTATATAAAAAAAACAAACCTTTTTTTTGCTTTTTCAAAGCATAACAAAATAGAATTAAGTTGCATCTTATACTATATCCTTCTTTTTTCTCTCATTTTTTCTTTGTTAATTTTAGTTATTTAAGATAATCTTTTTTGGTCGCACACAGCAATAGGTAAGCAGAATAAGACAGTAAGAAAAAATAACATAAAAGCTAAAATAAAATTTGTGTGCTTTTAGTATATTCTGAGGCACGAGAAACGTTATATAAAACTATTGAAATTGAGAAACCGGAGACTGCTATAAATGTTCCAAAAGATGTTTACAATATTTTTTTGGCTGCCAGTGACAGTTTTGGTGACAGTTCTGAAGTTACTATTTGCGGTAATCTGGTCGTTAAAGCAGTGGAGTTAGGTGTAAGTTAAAATAAATAAGCAGATGATGTATAAATAAAACTTATTTTATCAAAAAACAATTTAGTTGTCCTATTGCTTTTTTTAAGGAACATAGTGTCAGTAAACTTCGACAATTATTAAATTCTTTTACAGGACTTATCGCTAAACACAAGCAATCTTAATGAAGCAGTTAAAATGTTCACTAATGCAGGATATCTAGATGCGCTTGACGAAGCTTCACGTGATGACTCAATCAACAAAATGAACTATTCTGATGACGTTAAGCAGCAAATGAAAGAAATTGGAAGAATGGATGCAAGTGGCATTATATCTATTTCCTAACAAATAAAAATAAGAATAGAAAAATTTCAAAACAATTTTATATTTAAAATATTCTGCTTTTTTAAAAGTCACTTATTTTTTTAAAACAATTTTTAAATCAAAATTTTTTTTGTGTTTAACGGTTACTTAGACAACAATTGTAGGCGAAAGACTTACTGACTACAGTGGCAGGCATCGTCAAAGGTGACGTTAAACTGGGAAATGGTAATGTTACAAAAGAAGAAGCACTGAAGTCTCTTGCTGATATGCTGAAAGCTCAAAACGAAGAGAAAGCGAAAGTAACTATGTGATATCAAATGTCTACAAAAATTTATAAAAAAATTTTAAAGAATTTTCTTGTTTATATGTTAGAGGAAGAGGAAAGAAATTACTCTACGAGGAAAGAAAGTAAGCTATAATCTAGTTTGAACTGATTTGCTTGAAAATAATCCATTAAACTCTGTTAAGGTATTAAACAGCCTGTTGAGTGGCTTGAAAGATCAGACAGTCGATAGTCCGAAATCATTCGCAAATTCAATTGGCACCTTAAATCAGCTTATATCAGGTTCACAAAGTTCAACTCTCGGTTCCGGTAGTACAGGAGCAGGCTCAGCTGCTGGCTTCAGTGTCCAGTTTGGATGCGTAGAAACTGATTCTTACGAACTTGCAGTTTTAAACGGAATGGTAGGCCAAGTGTTGTGAACTTTTACTGCTATGAATAAAATTGGCTAAAGTTAAAAAATTCTGACAAAACCAGTAGTTTTTTATATTACTGTCAAAACTTTTTTTATCTTATTCTTACGAGAGGCTTAAAAAACTGTTATTACTATTAAGGCAAGTGTAACAAGAGACGAGATTTATGTGACTGGTGATTTTCGGCCAGTGTACCGACAGAAGGATGGTGGTGATGGGAGCTTTCAAGTTTGCTCTTATTCATAAGAAATGGACCAATTTCATCATTTTTAAAACTCTTCAGTGTGGCTCAATTGAATGGAATCTGCCAAGAGAAACTTTCAGGTTGATTCATCCGATGTTGCACAGGCCTCGGCTGTCATTAACATAAAGAACACTGTATCAATTACTGTATCTGAGGGTGGTTATAAATATGGAGAACTGAAATCGAATAAATCATACGTGTCATTTTACGGTCAGACTTCGGTTAGTCTAACCTTTTTGTTCAAAATAACTGCCTGATATATTTTAGTGGTTTTACTCCTCAATTACTTCGTGTACAAAAGTTATCAAAATACGGAAGTTTCATTAACAGGTTGGAAGCATATTGTATAAAACTAAAATAATAAAAAAAAAGAAAAGTAAGTAGTAACAACCTTCGTGCTTCTTTTAAGGTTATGGAAATGGGATCGTTAAGTGCCAAAGATCTTTTTATAACTGCTTGGAACATAAGTTTCGATAAACTGGCTGTAAGCCAACAACTAGATAACGCTACTTTTACTGCATTTCTACCTGTTAAAGATCAGGAATGCAGTTTCACTTTAAAGGTGAATTTTTTTAATATTAGCAGGCTTTTTTCTAATGCTCTGTCTTTGCTTCCACCGTTGAACGTCAGTAATTTTGTTTTTAAGATTTTGCTACCAGTTCTGTTTTAACTAACAAATGATCATTCACGGCAACAAAGGACATAAGTACAAACATAGTCGTAATAAATAATGTTTTCGGATATATGCCAAAGTATCCGTCTTCTTTTACCAAGTTCTTCTCCATCTTAGTCTGTTTACAACGAATAAGCCAATCTTCGTTATTTCCTTGTACTTTCCTCACAGAATCTGTCTGATTTCTCTCTTTACGTTGTAATTTTCTGCAAAAAAAGCGAAGAAAAACAACGCAAAGAAGGTTGGAGAAGGTTTAGTTAAAATGTTATTTTTTAGGAGTTCTGATATTTATATCCAAGTTGACGTAGAGGTGAATGGATGTAAAAAGTATCGCGCTAATGTGATGGCGTTTTTTTCTTGGGCATAAGTGTTGGCAAATTAGGAATACTGTCAAATAATTCCAGTTTTTTTTATTTTTTGTAAATTTTTGGTCTTCAAGGGCAGCTTTAGCAACGTGTGAAATAGCCATTTAGAACAGTTTTTATAGTAAAACAAAATTTTCACTCAGTATTACCATGTCATTACCGTTAATGGCAAAAAAAATTTGGTTAAGAGAATAGTCAGTGAAAACTAAATGTGAACGAGACGCCAAAGGTATGTTCAGGTTGCAAAGTTCGAGGATCAAAATGAAGGCCCAACTGAGATTACTAAAAAGCTTTTTAAATAAAATTTTCATCTACGGAGACGAAATTGAGCGAATTTCCATTGAATTAAACATATAAGGCTTTTTTGCTATTCCTTGTGAATAACTAATCAAAAATTTTACCATTACTGGAGGAAGGTTAAGAAAAGTAAGTAATTTTTCTGTTGACATCGTTATTGATGAGTAAATAGAAAGGTAAAAAGATCTTTCTAATTGGAAGAGAGTACCAGTTTAACCTAACTTTCTAACAGTTTATCATACATAT